TTACAGTTATTATGCTTTTTAATGAAATTAAATAGCTTCGGTTAACAAAAAAAAACTAAATTAATTGATGATTAATGACCATTTAAAATTTTAATTAAAGGCCACAAACACAAGCCCAAAGCTAGCCCACGTCCATTCTAATTTGATGACTAAAGGCCATTTCAAATTTTAATTAAAGCCCACAAATAGAAGCCCAAAGCTAGCCCACGTGCATTCTACTTTTTTTCATGCTCAGATAATTCCTAAACACAAACGCCGATAGAGTCCAAGTCCAAGTGTCAAACATTCAATTTGGGTCTCCATTGTCCAACTCACTAAATAAAAAATAATATTAAAAGAAATTTAGGTTTTCTTTTGGAATGCGTCGCCGCTGCTGTTAAGCCCCCAAACCTCACCGCAGCATTTCAAGCAAAAACCAAGCGAAAATGAAGCCAAAATCAAGCGAAAATGAAGCCAAAATCAAGCAACAATCAAGCAAAAATCAAGCCAACAACAATGGCAAGGCTATCAACGAACAACAACAAAGACAAACAGGGGTCAGAAAACTTACCATTAACAACCAAGCTTCCGCTTCTTGGTAGAGATACGAAGGGAGTTCCGAATGAAAGTGTAAGTTCTATGAATCTATGTTTGTTTTTCACCTTTTAAGTTAAAGTTTCAACGATCTCGTGAATAATTTCTGTGTTCTCTGTTGCGTTCTGAAAAGATTCCCAAAAAAGTTAACTTTTTTAAAAACGATTCCCTGTTCTACCTTGTCGTTTGCGGATTCAAAACGATTTCCTGTTCCCCTTGTCGTTTGCGGATTCAAAACGGAGGTGTTGCGGACGCAACACCGTTACGCTACGGACGCAACACCGTTACGCTATGGAAAAAACCGTGATTTACGGTCTCACCGCAATTGCGGTCCGATGCCGTTGCGGACAAGGCCGCAACCGCAATATTGCGGCCGCAATGCGGGATGCGGTCCGCAATTTAAAACCCTGGCCCCAGCTAACCCCACTCCTCGTGAGCTTAAGCAGTTATCTAACATAGATAACCATCATATCTTACGTGCTCATTATTCACTGATACAATTTTATCGCTACCAGCCTCTAACGAAAGGGAAAGACCCTGTTGAAGTCATTAGACAAGCACTCGCTAAAGCACTTGTGTTTTACTATCCATTGGCGGGAAGGCTTAATTAGGGAGGGTCCTGATGGCAAACTAATGGTGGATTGCACTGGGGAAGGTGTCTTGTTCATTGAGGCTGATGCAGATGTGACACTTGACCAATTTGGTGATGATTTGAAGCCCCCATTCCCTTGCTTCGATGAGCTCCTTTACAATATTCCTGGTTCAGATGGAATCATTGACTGTCCACTCATGCTCTTACAGGTTATCTTATAGACTTATACATTCCTGTTTATGTTGAAATAGATTTTCACAAGTTTTATTTTCTGACATGTTGCAACACAAGTATAAACATGTCTTACCATAGAGACCAAACACTAATAAGCAAAATCTCTTTGCTAAGCAATCCAAATGGTACCTATCATAGAGGCCAAAATTCGTTGAGTTGAATCCCTTTTGTTGAGTGAATTTCTCTTTCTGAACCATAGGGGGCTAAAACTTGATTAGCCAACCATTTTGCTAAGTGAAACTATAACGATCACAAATCACACAACTTCTTGGCTCAACGAACGTTGATTTGCTTAATCAAGATTAAACATGTTCTTCATTTTCTTAGTGAAATTGATCTCATTGAGTGAAAACTTCTTGTCTTATACTTGGTCCTTCATCCCACGAAGGCTCATTGATTGAGCGAGAACCCATCTCGTTGAGCGAAAAATCCATCAAATTCAACATCTAGGGCCATTCGAGTGCCCAAAGCCACATCTAACAATTCTTAAACATCACACTTAATAACTCCAAAACATCAAATCCTACGGGGAAACACACATGCCAGTACGAACCAACCCAAAATTATTCCCTCTAGGTAGGATCCAAAACCCCAACAAGAGGAAATCACCAAAAATCTCAATATTAGGTCATCAAATAGAAGAAAATTAGAAGGTGAATTTAATCTTTTGTAAAACAGAAACGTGAACACTACATAAAACAGAGGGTGAGAGGATAAATATATTAAAAATAGTGATACAAGCTAATTTATAAATAAGGTAGCAAATGATGCTCCATTATTTGAAATAAAACAATCTTAATTATAAATGATTTGCTGCACCAGATTTCCTTAATAGTGGCTGATTTGTTTTTGATTTGTAGCAATCTGTTTCCTTAATAATAGCTTATTCTGTTTGCTCTTTATCTGTCAATTTAATCCCATTGATTGTGTCTTGCTTGATATTGTTAATACCCTCCCGCAAACGAGGCCGAGGTTGAAGGCAGAGTTTGGGACAAAAATGCATTAGTGTAGCCTTTGACATAGGTTTAGTAAAAAGATATGCAACTTGATTATTGGTGGGGACGTGGCGAGTGACAAGAAGTCCAAGAGCAACTCGTTCACGAACAAAATGATAGTCTAGGTCAATATGTTTGCTTCGAGCCTGAAAGACAGGATTGATGGTGAGATGAAGAGCACTATTATTGTCGCAATAAAGAGTGGGAGGATAAGTAAGCGGGATGCGGAGGTCTTTCAAAAGGAATGTCAGCCATGTGAGTTCAGCTGTAGTATTAGCCATAGCCCTATATTCAGCTTCGGTGCTAGAGCAAGAGACGGTGGGTTATTTCTTTGCGCACCACGATATGAGGTTGCCTCCAAGAAAAGTACAATAGCCAGTGGTAGAACGTCGAGTGGTAGGACAACCTGCCCAATATGCATCTGAAAAGGCAAAAAGATCAAGTGTAGTGTTAGAGGTAAAATGTAAACCTACATTAATAGTGCCTTTGACATATCGCAAGATACGCCGAACCATTTTGAAATGCATAATAGTTGGAGCATGCATAAATTGAGACACATAGTTAACACTGTATGAAAGGTCAGGACGGGTAAGAGTGAGGTATTGTAAAGCTCCAAAAAGCCCACGGAAGTGACTTGGATCCTCAAGCAAAGTGTGATTTGATGTGAACTTGGTCTTAGATTCAAGAGGTGTGCTCATCGGTTTATAATCAATCATGTTAGCTCGTTCAAGGATAGTTAGAGCATAATGTGATTGAGATAGATGAAGGCCATCATCTGTTGGAAGTATCTCAATTCCTAGGAAGTGGTGAAGAGGCCCCAAGTCCTTCATGGAAAATTCAAATTGCAAGAGATTAATAAAGTTAGAAACGAGGGTGGTGGAGGATCCTGTGATAAGTATGTCATCAACATAGAGAAGAAGAATAATAGATCCAGAATTAGTGTGAGAAATAAATAAGGATGGGTCAGCCATGCTACAAAAAAAAATCATATTTAAGAAGAAATGAACTGAAGCGATCAAACCAGGCCCGAGGTGCTTGTTTGAGGCCATAAAGAGCCTTTTGGAGCTTGCATACATGGTTTGGGGAGTTAGGATCAGCCATTCCAGGAGGTTGTTCCATGTATATATTTTCAGAGAGAACACCATGTAAAAAGGCATTTTTGACGTCAAGTTGATGAATATGCCATTTCTGAGCAAGAGTGACAGTGATGATTAATCGGATGGTTCCTGGCTTAATTACTGGAGAAAAGGTTTCAATATAATCCACTCCATCAACTTGGTGGTATCCTTTTACAACAACTCAAGCTTTGAGGCGATCTAGAGATCCATCTGGTTTGAGTTTGGATTTAAAAACCCGTTTAGAGCCAATGACATGCATATTAGAAGTTTAGGGAACTATTTGCCAAGTTTGATTTTTGTGTAAAGCCTCAAGTTCTTCACCCATGGCAGCCTTCCACCCAAGATGGGATAGCGCTGAACGAATGTTGTGTGGGTTTTGTGGGATGTTCTCAGACGAGGTAGAAAGTAATGCATATTTTGGATTAGGCTTTACTATTCCGCGTTGTGAACGAGTAACCATCGGATGCAAAGGTAGATCTTGTGGTTGTTGGGTTTGTGTTGATGAGACGGGCTCATGTGAAGAAGGTGAGGTGGGAGACCCAAATTCAAGCACATGTTCAGATTGTGAAGGTTGTGTGGAGTACTCATGGTGCTCAACTTCATAGTGTAGGGTTTGTTCCGGTTGAGTGATTGACTCATGTGTGGTGCCAAGTTGATCCAGAGAGGATGGTAGTGGATTGATAGATGGGAGAGAAGCTGCAACAGGAAGGTGTGCAGTAGGAGAGTGTATCAAGGTTGTGGGTAGTGGACTTAAGCATGGTGAAGTAGACGGAGAGGTTGACAAATCTGCACAAGAGTCAGAGTTAGTGTGAGGTAACCAAGAGTCAAAAATACTAATGACATGTTTTGTAGTAGGTGGAGCATTATTTTGGATAATATTCTTCTTATATGGAAATATTAATTCATCAAAAACAACATGTCGAGAGATGAAAAATTTCTTACTAGGAGGATGAAAACACTTATATCCTTTATATTTATCGCTGTATCCAACAAAGACATAGAGTAGTTTTTGGATCAAATTTGTGGCATCGTGTGTCCTAGGTGTAAGGGAAACATTTAGACCCAAACACTCGAAGTGAAGTGTAGTCAAGGTGTGTTCCATGCAAAGCAAAATATGGAGTTTCAAAATTAAGGGAAGATGATGGAAGCCTATTAATCAAGTGGAAAGCTGTAGTAAAAGCTTCAACCCATAGAAACAAAGGAGCACCACTATGAAACAACATAGTCATACCTAGTTCGCGTATTATTCTATGTCACCTTTCAACCATACCTATTTGTTCTGGGGGTGTATGGACAAGAAACTTGATGAACAGTACTTGTTAAAGTAATTAAAATGATTTGATAATTTGGAGTTGATAAATTCACCCCCTCCATCAGAATGAAAAATCTTGATCTCTTTGTTAAATTGTTTTTTAACATACAGTTCAAAGGATATGTAAGTAGGAAAAAAATCAGATTTTTGGTGTAAGGGAATAATCCACGTATACTTAGAGAAATCATCAACTAAACATGCATAATATCGAAATTTACCAATAGATAAAATTGGGGTAGGTCCCCACAAGTCACAATGTATTTTTTCAAAGATAGCAAAACTAGAGTGTTTAGAAGAAGAAAAAGGTAATTTATTAAGCGTTACCAATTGACAACTATCACAAAGATGTTCAGATTTTACTTTTCCTACTACATCAATTAACCCTTTATTCTTTAACAATTGTATAGAGCTATAGTTTGAGAATGTCCTAGGCATTGATGCCAAGTGTCTGCTGATCCAGATTTGAAACGATGAGAGTAATGCAATTCAGGTGAGGGAGAAAGTACATATAGATCACCTTTGCGCCTCCCTGTGATCATTGGTTTCCCTGTTTCTCATTCCTTAACACAAAAATCAACATTAGAAAATTCACAATTAACAGGAAATTGCTTAGTTAATTGACTTATAGAGAGTAGATTCTTTGTTAAGGAAGGAACTAGTAAGACATCATGAAGGGGTAGAGTAACATTCCTTTGCTTGATGAATGAGTCTCTAGTACCAAGAATTGGTAGAGAAGAACCATCACCAATAAGGACAGAATTTGTACCTGAATATTTTTGGATGTTATTAAGCATACTCGGTTTACCTGTCATATGATTGGAGGCTCCAGTGTTAGAGGTCCATTCTGTTTCAGCTATTGTGTTATCTAGGGTGAGTGCAGCTAGAGCTTGTGGTATATCATCAGATTGAGTTGGTTTCTTAGCCACCCACCAACATATTTTTGCTATATGACCCATCTTGCCACAATACTGACACTTCTCATTTCGATATAGCTCGCGTTCTGTAGATGTCATACGACGTTCTCCTGGTGGCAGGGGACGTGTTTGCTGAGTGGTCACGATAGAGTGAGTTTGAGTTTGATTACTTGGTGTTTGGGCATGAAATCCTCGCCTGGTTGATGTGAAAGATTGAGAAATCCCACGATTTTGTGAGGAAGACTGGTGAGATCTTTGTTGGTGTTGGCCATAGAAAGCCATGTGAGAAGTAAGTGAGTTTTGCATATTGGTGTGGCTAGAGAACCAACTACGTCACTGATCAAGGCTCTGGAGTTGCGAGATTAGTTCAGAGTAAGATGGCCTAGGAGGCTTTAGCATTGTTGTTGTGAATGTTTCATAGTTAGGACCAAGGCTAGTGAGGAGATAGAAAACTTTTTCCTTGTCTGGGATAGGTTTCCCAATAGCTGCTAAGTTATCACATAGGCCTTTAAAGATGTGAATGTGTTCTCCAACAGTGCGATCATCCTCTTTGCGGAGATATGTAATTTGTTGACGGAGCGTGAACTCACGTTCTTGAGAATCTTCCATGTATGCATCCTTAAGTGCATCCTAAACTGCATGGGACGTGTCTAGGCCAATAACGAGGCCAAGAGCTTTTTCAGAAAGTGTTCCGATTATCCATCCTCGGAGAAGACGATCTGCCTTGCGCCAGGTGAAAAATTCATTAGTTAATTTTGGGGTAAATATTTCTGAGTTTGTAGTGTTATTGGAATCTGGAGTGGTGTGTTGAGTAGGGGCATGATCTTCATTTGTGAGATGTCCCACCAGATCTTGTCTTTCTGCAAGTGCTAAAGCTTGTTCACGCCACAATGGGTAGTTTGCTGGTGTGAGTGTGAGGGTAATGAAATTGTCAACATTGAGAGATAAGGATGTCATGGTGTTCACAAAGGCTCTTGATACCAAGAAGAAAATTGGAAGGTGAATTTAATCTTTTGTAAAATAGAAACGTGAACACTACATAAAACAGAGGGTGAGAGGATAAATATATTACAAATAGTGATAAAGGCTAATTTCTAAATAAGGTAGCAAATGATGCTCCATTATTTGAAATAAAACAATCCTAATTATGATTGATTTGCTGCACTAGATTTCCTTAATAGTGGCTAATTTGTTTTTGATTTGTAGAAATTTGTTTCCTTAATAATAGCTGATTCTTTCCTTAATAATAGTTGATTCTGTTTGCTCTTTATCTGTCAATTTAATCCCATTGATTGTGTCTTGCTTGATATTGTTAATACAAATTAGCTCCAAACAACTTCAAATTCACACATTCAACCAACATAAACAAGGATGAAGATTCCCTTACCTCAAATTTTCTTCCTAAAAACAAATATCAAATTAGGAAGATGTTTCCAAAACTCTCCAAAGCCTAACTTCCTCAACTTCAATCTTTACAGATCTCTACTCTAATGATCTTCCTTTAGCTTTATGAAACTCAAAACTCCAGCTAGAAGATCTTGGCCTTGTGGGATGATCAAAAGTCAACATGTAATCTTGGATTTATAGTCTTTCTAATTTATGAATTTGAAATTGATAAAATCTCAATTTTCATTTTCTTATTTATAATTTAACCTACTCAAGATTTACTTTACCCAAGTTGATCCAGAGAGGATGGTAGTGGATTGATAGATGGGAGAGAAGCTGCAACAGGAAGGTGTGCAGTAGGAGAGTGTATCAAGGTTGTGGGTAGTGGACTTAAGCATGGTGAAGTAGACGGAGAGGTTGACAAATCTGCACAAGAGTCAGAGTTAGTGTGAGGTAACCAAGAGTCAAAAATACTAATGACATGTTTTGTAGTAGGTGGAGCATTATTTTGGATAATATTCTTCTTATATGGAAATATTAATTCATCAAAAACAACATGTCGAGAGATGAAAAATTTCTTACTAGGAGGATGAAAACACTTATATCCTTTATATTTATCGCTGTATCCAACAAAGACATAGAGTAGTTTTTGGATCAAATTTGTGGCATCGTGTGTCCTAGGTGTAAGGGAAACATTTAGACCCAAACACTCGAAGTGAAGTGTAGTCAAGGTGTGTTCCATGCAAAGCAAAATATGGAGTTTCAAAATTAAGGGAAGATGATGGAAGCCTATTAATCAAGTGGAAAGCTGTAGTAAAAGCTTCAACCCATAGAAACAAAGGAGCACCACTATGAAACAACATAGTCATACCTAGTTCGCGTATTATTCTATGTCACCTTTCAACCATACCTATTTGTTCTGGGGGTGTATGGACAAGAAACTTGATGAACAGTACTTGTTAAAGTAATTAAAATGATTTGATAATTTGGAGTTGATAAATTCACCCCCTCCATCAGAATGAAAAATCTTGATCTCTTTGTTAAATTGTTTTTTAACATACAGTTCAAAGGATATGTAAGTAGGAAAAAAATCAGATTTTTGGTGTAAGGGAATAATCCACGTATACTTAGAGAAATCATCAACTAAACATGCATAATATCGAAATTTACCAATAGATAAAATTGGGGTAGGTCCCCACAAGTCACAATGTATTTTTTCAAAGATAGCAAAACTAGAGTGT